ATTAGAGGAAGTTTTTCACCCAGAGGGTGGTGAGGCACTGGCACAGGTTGCCCAAGGAGGCTGTGGATGCCCCATCCCTGCAGGCATTCAAGGCCAGGCTGGATGTGGCTCTGGGCAGCCTGGGCTGCTGGTTGGCGACCTGCACACAGCAGGGGGTTGGAACTGGATAAGCACTGTAGTCTTTTTCAACCCAGGCCATTCTATGATTCTGTGAACCATGTCTTCTTCTTCTATTGCCACTGCCTGCCCTTACTTTTGTCATTTTTCCTTTTTTTCTTTTAAAGCATTTATAGCTTTGTTCATTCTTTCATAAAATGTACAAAACATGAAAACAAGCTCTGTATTATTTCATTGGAAAAGTTAGTTCTTGTGTTCTGAGTATATATATTCAAATTCGGAAGATATATCTGATAATTCCACAGAATATGTTCATAAGCCTTCAAATTGTCCAGTGTCTGGGCAAGTTTGATTAAAACATTTTGCAATATACAAAGAATTTACTCTGAGCTCAGTGAAGTCCTGGGGGAACTGTCTGGAGTCACAATAATTCCCACCCCTTCTGGGTGACAAAACCCTTTATGCAATGGAATAGCACTTTATTCATAGAGGGTAAGTCAGATAAAGATAAATGTATTTCTGCACAGTTCTGGATATGGTAGATAATCAAGAATAAAAGTCTGTTCCCAAGTGAATCTGTAGCAGTTATTAACGTATCTCCGTGGGAATGGAAACTGAGCATTAATGTAAGAGACTGTTTTCATAGCAGTCTAGACTTCCCTAATTGTCAGTGACAGGGGCCCACATATCCCTGCAGTCCCATTCCTCACCTTGTGCTAGAGCCAGTGCTTGTCAGGCCTTTCCTCCAGCCATTGCTGTGTGTTGATTTTGCAGAAAACTGAACTGACAAAAGAGCAAATAACTATCTGCTGACTTACTGTGCTGGGTCTCTTGACTGCAGAAGAGCCAGAGGCAGCCAAAAACTAGATAGCTTTACATTGCTGGAGTTCTTATTTCAGATCACTCAGGAGTCTATGGTCTTTGCTGAGCAATTTGCTTAATTTTAAACTGAAGTGATCCCACTAAGTGCTATTTCAAGGTTAGCTAACAAGCGGCTCTGTTTCTCAATCAGTAACTTATCTTGGCTGCTAATGACAGTATTCATGAGATGGCCTCTAGTCAGCCTAACCTGATTTTCAAAATGCTCTCTTTAAGTTATTGCAGCTCTGTGGAAGTCACAAGAAAGCCCTGGGGATGAATTATGAATGTGGCTTTCAGTACTGTTTTCCACACCTCAACTCCAATTACTTTGTGAAAAATGTATGAATCTGCTAACAGCTACTTCTTTCAATCCACTCCTCCATCACAAATATGGAAAGACATGAAAGAAGGAAGCATCACATATGTAGCATTTCTGATAACTTTTTATATCGGTCCATATTTTTTGAAAGGAGGTTTGTCATCAAGAATTCTTGAATTTTTCTTTATATTATCATCTCATTGGTGAACGAATGTCTGGTAAAAACATTGCTATTACTCCTACTGAATCTTATTTGACGTAGAAGAAATTGCTATAAAAAACAGTCTAATGTGAACTGGTAATAACATATATGTAAGCAGAAAGCAGCACTAGCCTAACAGCAGGAGTTACTGCCCTGAGCTTACGATGCATGTTGCTGCTCCTTACATACAGCTTATAGAAAGTTGGATTCTGTTGTAATTGCAGTGTGTACTACTCGTAACATTCAAAATATTAATGTTGCTGTGGTGTATACACAGGTGCATAGTAGTCAGTATCAGTCAGGAAGTATTTCAACACCAGTATTTCTTTATTTCAACACCAAAGTTACAGACAACCACACATTATCTGATAGTACAGTGAGAACGGTGACAGGTTTTTATAGATGTAGCTTAGGGAGTGAGAAGCATCACAGGTCATCCAGCCCAACCTCCCTGCAAAGCAGGCCCCCTACAGCAGGCTGCACAGGTAAAGAAGTAGTTACACAAGATACATCCTTTAATTATATTACTGTGACTACCAGTTTTAAAGCGAAAGCTGGACTTAATGAATAGGCAGAGTGCGTCTTCAGCCTGATTTGACGGATAATTTTCTACCTAAATATCATGACTCACAACTACCAGCAGATGTCAGTGTTCCAGAACATTACCACTGCCTCTGTGGTCACTGTCAGTGAGTGCAAAACTATACCGGCAATGGAATGAGAGTTCTAAAATACGTGGAATAGAGAATTGCCAAACAAAGCAACAAATAAAAACCTACGATAACTATTTAACCATCTAATCCTTATGTGTATGAAGAAGAGACTGCTCTAAGTAACCTGCTGGATATCTAATAGTACATTTCTTTATTGTGTGTCTGGTTTGATGGTTGCCTAACAGTCTATTTGTGCATTTATATGTTCATCTGTGCTGCTCTGCTATTGGTCTGAGCCCAGTGAAGGGAAAACTGAGCAAAAAGGTTCACCAACAACCATCTGAAAAAAGATACATGTGAGAGGAATAAGATCTGAGAACTTGTGGAAAATGCACAAAGCTATGTAGAGAGCAAGGGCAGTGCCTGAGAAAGCTGAAAGACAGCCCAGGACCTGCAGTTGTTTCTTTTGTTGAGAAGGCAAGAAACTCACTTCAGAGTGAGGAAAAGCTGACAGGCATTGCTGCTCTGCACCTTGGAAAGGAAAGGAAGCTTTCTGCTCTAGTGGGAAAGTTGTTCAGAGGTCATATTTCATGCAACATGCTGCTCTTCCCAGAAGTACAGAGTGCAAGCTCAGGCTTTCAAGGCTACAAAGAGCCACTGGGTAAACTGAATCACTGCTTATGACTGCAAGGCAAGGAAAATATCTGGATTCATGCAATTGAATAATTTCAATATTCAATAGAATTCAATAGAATAGAAACATAAGCCATGAAGAGATTTAACAGTGAGGGCCAGGATCTTGCAAGAGTCTTGCAAGAGTCTTGCTTTCTTAAAACAACAATAATAATTTTATCTCTATCCTGGTTAAGTGGCATTCCCATTCTGCTTTGTCTACATTGTCACAACTCTAAACTTGTATTTCACTTTAATTGCTGTACTTCCTTTAAAATCTCTGGATGCTATGAAAAGGGAGATAAGGATGCCATAAAACAGAAAATTCTTCATATCAACAGTGATGCCAGTCATGAGTTCAGTTCTATATGAGCTGGCAGCAGATTCTCATTTGAATTTTTTTTTATTATTATTATTATTATTTTTTTTAATGTACAATAGAATGAAATCTGTGTGGGCAGGGGCCTTATATCTAAGGGAGCAAAGAACCTGCTTCTGAAGGCACAATGTCTTTATGGTAGATTTGCTGGTTTCAAGGAGTCCTCAGTTTGCTTCCCAGCACTGCTCTGCTCATCAACCCTGGGCAAGCTGTTTTGCATTTCTGTTCTTCTGTTGGTCTTTTAAGCAAGAAAGGGATGCTACCAATTTCTTGCAAACACACGTGGTCAGATTTTCTCTTTGCTTTCCCAATTGCTGCTATAAAGGTCACCCTTTTAAAGAATACCGATAGACAGATTCATAGATTCAGTTATTTCCCTGCTAGGATTTTTCTATGATCATATTTCCCCTTAAGTTCTGTCTTTAAGAAACAGCAAATGATTTTGCTCAATAATTTTCAGTCAGCAGTGCTTAGAACACATGCAAGTATCTAGAGACAGGAAGGGTATTCAGCTGGAAAGACCTAAAAATACTTACATGTAATCTGTATGATCCCTTTAGCTGAAGTGTGGAACTTCTAAAACCACATTACTAGAGATGCTACATTAAGCAGAATTCACTGCTGCATTTCTGAATATAACACAACTAGGAACACTCAACCAATTTCAGATTAAGAAAACCTGCTGGTGCTGGTATATTATTGCTCGAGTACTGTCATACTCTAAATCCCATACTACTCTTAGTTTTCCAATGTTTTGGGCAGAAGTGTTTCTTATTCTCCTTAACTCTTTTTTCTAGCTCCAAAGATTTACTGCAAACTTTGGCACCCACTGAGTAGGGTGGGAGAGTTGGTTGGAGGCACCCAAGGCCTTTAGGCCTGAAATTCCTTTCATATTTAACCTATTTCTCAATGACAGGCCCACGAGGCGCTTCTAGAAAAAGAATTACTTACCTTTCAGCTGAAGAAAGTGGATATTTAATCACCTCTGAACTACTGCAAGAACAGTGTTATTACTCAGCAGTTATTTAAATGCGTAGTATCTGCTGTTGTTGAAGTGATTTAGAAACAAATGCTAGGTAAGTCTGATGATCTGCCCATAAAATAAACACAAGTCATTTTACAGCAGAGCAAAGTGATTTCTGGAAGACAAGTTCTACAGGTATTGCACAATAGCTCCATCGTAGATATGGGTCTCTTGATTTGATTTTTAATCCCATGGTCTAGGAAATATCCTTAGTTGTGTACACACAGAATGAGGAGAGGTCATTTCCCTTGCTGTATTCTCATGCTATTTCACGATCTCCATGGGTTGGTATTGGGGCCTGTCCTGTTTGATGTCTTTATTGATGATCTGGATGAGGGCACTGAGCGAATGATTACCCACCCCTCTGTACTCTGCTGTAGTGAGGCCTCACTCTGAGTACTGAGTTGGAGCATAAGTCTGATGAGGAGTGCCTGAGGGAACTGGGGTTATTTAGTACGAAAAAGAGAAGGCTCAGGGGAGACCTTATAGCTCTCTACAACCACCTAAAGAGAGCCTTGGAGAGGTGAGGGTTGCCCTCTTCTCCCATGTAACTAATGACAGGACTAGAGGGAATGGCCTCAAGTTGCGCCAGGGAGGTACAGGTTGGATGTTAGGAAACACTTCCCTGAAAGAGTGGTCAGGTGCTGGAATGGGCTGACCAGGGAAGTGGTGGAGTTGCCGTCCTGGAGGTGTTCAAGAAACACTTAGATGTTGTACTGAGGGACATGGTTTAGTGGGAAATATTGGTGATAGGCGAACGGTTAGACTGGATGACCTTGGAGGTCTTTTCCAACCTTGGAGATTCTAGAATTCTGATCTATAAGAGTGACAGCCACTGGCATGAGCCCTTCTATTATCTCCCCTTCTTAGCAAAGAAATACTGCCTGGCATGAAACACTTCTTGACTTGTGAAAATTGTTACCTAAAAGGAAGCTCCCACCAAACAGCTCAGAATGCTCCAAGCAAAATGTTATTTTGCATCTTTACCTGTTAACATGTGTAATTTCAAAGCAATCTCAAGCTCTAATTATCCAATTGTTCCCTCTCCGACCTCATTCAATTTATTTGGTTACTTTGATTCCACACTCCTACTTCATATACATGAAGTTTTTCCCTGCTTATTCCTAAGAGGCCAGAGACATTCGGTTTGGCTTAACAAATGCAAATTGCAGCTCACGGCACAGTTATGTTTAATTATTAATAGAATATATCCCTCACCAATGAGTGCATCTATTAGAATGGACCAGAGTTGCCTCAAAGAACCCCAAACAAACAAAGAAAAAACAACAAAACACCTACCACCATAAAACAGTGACAAGTCTTCATAGAAGTACCTCTTCTGATAATTTTCTTCAAGCAACATATACAATTAAGGCTCTGAAAGGGGAGGCAGTGGTAATCTCAGAGTTGCAATTTTGTACTTCAATTTACAGTAAGGGCTACATAAACTCAAACTGTTGTAGCAAGAAAAACTCAGCTGACCTCAACTTGTCCTCTGGGATCTGAAACTTCATTTAGAATAACATCTGTGGGAGGTGGGATTTATCCCTGAGAAGAGAGATGCTGAACTAATGGGGACTGCACCAGTTTTAAACTGCATTCATTGTCACTGGGTGAGTCAGAGGTCAGGATCTGAAAGTTCAAATCTAGAAAAAATATTGACAGTTTTACAGGTGGGTTTGGAACTGGAACATTAAGCAAACTATTTTGGCATTAGGAAAAAAAAACAAAAAACAAAAAACAAAGCAAGACTACTCTGTCTGGCTTGATATAAAGGATTTTGAGCAACTTTTATTTCTGACACTGCTAAGTCCTCCTTATGAAACCAGGAGCCTTACTGTGAGCTTCTTATGCTAATTTAGCAACAATCTGCATGAGTAATGCAACCAAAGAAAGTCACGATGCAAGTCACTGCTTACTAAAGAGTTTGCAGTACGATTTTTACTCTGTGAATCTTTTATTTTGAACACATGTGATAATACTTAATCAGAGGAGGGAAACAGTGACTTCTTTACCAGAGATGAAGGCCAGACCTTACACTCAGGCAGGACAGCCTGCTGTGGGTATTTGGGTCAGAATACACAGAACGCATTGAAGCACTGAGATACAGTTCTCCTGGTAAGAACTACAGTGGAGATGACATTTAGTTTTTGATTTCCAAGTGTAAGACGCCAGGTATTGTTCTTTTATTATATTACCTTTATTCAGTTCATCCATGTAACTATTCAAAATAGGGAGAAGTGTTTTTTGTACATCACGTTGCTTCCTATATATCTGTTCAACTCTTTCTTGCTATGATCCACAGCACCAAGACAATTTTGTATTTGGGACACTGAGAGAAGCGTTGCAAACAGTTAACATTTCATAATTATACTAAGAGAGCACAAAAATACGTAAACGGAAGGCAAAACTTCCTTTTGGGTTTATTCAGATACTGTAAGAAAGATAAGTTCCCTTGCTGTCATAACACATTGCCATGCTTTAATTCTCATTCAGTGTGTACCCCACACTGCCTAACATTTTGTTCTGCAAATGTCTCATGCAGTATTTTCTCCTCCTTCTCTGTGTAGTAACAATTACTTTCTTTCTCCAAGTTTATCTAATTAAGCACAATTTGAATGTTCATTTAATTCTGTACAGTTAAGCAGTCCAGATTTTTTCTAGTCCATTAAGGACAACGCTAAGCAAATAACATACTGCAGAGGTAAGATCAAATATTGTTCTTGCCAACCTCTGTTGCAACCTATTAATCTTTAAATAACTAGGAACAGTGCCAGAAAGTCTCACTGGGCAATACGCAGCCCAGAAGACAAATGGGGCTTGGGTTCTTTTGGTGTGGTCTCTTTAGCATGTACTCATGCTAAACTGTGGAAAGTTAAGAATAGGAGATAACTGTGGAAAATTGTACAATAACAAACCAGTGGGAATGAGGCTGCTTTAGTTTGTGTGGTGTTGGTAATCTAAAGCACACAGTGTGTATTTATAAAACATTCTCTTGTCGCTATCGCCTTACACTTTGCAAAACAGCCATTGAAGCTACCAAACAGTCTTGGAAGGGATTTCTCTTACCTAAGAACTTTGAAAAACTTCAGAAGCAAAGTGATATTTCTCTGGAGATCAAAGGAGAAATTGCTGTTTCAGGATAGCATCTCGTCTCTAAAACCAAAACTGGAAAAGCAAACATCATACAAGTAAAAACACTGGTTGCTTAATGCAAGCCTCAGAGCAAAGAGAACAGATAGATGATAAACTAAAAGCACAGACTGGAGCAGAGACATCAACATGACCAGTGTTCAAACCACTCCTGGTCCAAACATGAATAAAACCTCCAAATTTTAGGTTCAAACATTCACTCTTTTTGAATGTTTTGTCTCTTTACCACTGATTGACATGCACATAAATCCAGATGCACCATTCATGTACAGACACGTCATGATAACAAAGCAGAAAGGATCAAGTAAAAACCTTTCTTACGTGTTGCAAAGGAAATAATGAGAGAGAGTCCCCGTATAATTATTCAAGAAGATAAACCAGGCAAGTAGTAACTCCTATAAAATAAAGGCCATTAATGACAACTAGTAATTTTACTTCTGGTTAGTGAAACTAATGCCATTTTTGCTGCAATGGAAGAATTTGTTTTGCTAATTTAGTTGAGTAGTAAGTCTGCTCAAATGTGAAGGCTGATCAAAGATAGAAATAGTGAAAGTGTAGAAAACTGAGATTTGACTCTAATGCTTGCAGAGAACATGCTTTTCAGTGGGAAAGGAGAATGATGTGAATAATGACTGCACTCCAATAGCTTCCTTACTGAAATGAAATGGATCCTTTAAGAATGAGAAACAGATCAGGTACATTGCTCACCACAAAATATTCCTATTTTTTAAATCAAATGAGAATTGTTTACTTTCCATCACCTTACTGACTCCTTACACGTATTTTTGTTCATATATATTGTTTGAAAACAGGGAAAAGTACAAACACTGAAAACATATGTTATTAACAACACTCTGAACTTAAGTCTCAAAATCAGACCTCACAGTACTAAGGCAAAGGAGACAAAATAAAGGATCAGAAAATGGCAGCCCTGTGGAGAAAACAGCACGGTATTGAGCAATGAGAGTAGTGGTACTGCCCAGCATTAGGGACAGAAGTACTGGGTCTTCTGTATAACCACATCTTTATGACCTTACCTGCCAAGTGCTGAGGGACTGCCAACAGCAGCAGTTTGCAGTGGCTGCTCAGGGATAATAGTTTCTACTTTGCATGTTACTTCTCTCCTATCTTACCTTTACTAAGCCTCTGCCAGCTCCTCTCCTTTGTCTCTTCAGTGTTAAACCATCCAGTCCTGGAGTTTTGGCCAGTTGCCTGGCTCACAGGGTGCCCAGCCAGTAATGGCACCCTGCCCTTGATGCCATCCCACTGCTGGGGCACGTGGGGGGCCTCAGTGCCTTCCCCCAGACTCTGACCTTGTGCACAATAAGCACTCTGCCAGTCAGGGGCACGCAGCAGAGCAGCTCAGGGAGCCGCTGATGTGTGTTACGTTCTAAACTTTTTTTGTGCAATTCGTTATCAAAGAAATAATTTCAAATCAAAAGCTTTGAGATCGTTTTTTCTAAGCCGAACTCTCGCATTCTTCATCTTAACCTTGCATGGCCAAGTTGAATGTGAAACAGTTTAGTCCACTTTTATTACTTAGTCTTATATGCTGTTGCCAAAAATGCAGGAAGGAAGTAAAATAATTATATCTAACAAAAGGCTAGATGAATTTTAGTTCGTATAAACTGATGAATGTACTGATTGCTGATTGTGATGCACTAATATCAACATCTTCCTCGAAACTCTTTTCTTAATCACAATCATTTCTCAAGTGGCTGTTTCAGAACCATCCCTTTGAAGCCCTTCTGGATGTTACTCCTGTAAGTGGATGGACAAACACAACCCTCAAATAGTTAACTTCAATGAAGAGTTTCTATTAATTTTCCTTGTGCAACATGAAAGGGCTTTTTCTTTCTGTTTGTGAGAAAACACTGTGCACATTTTAACAATAACTACATATAGTTGGCAAGCCACCTTTTCCTCTGTCTTCTCTGCGTGAGGTTACAGTGCAGACATAATACCACTACACATGTCAATGACATAACAGTCAAATTAGTTTCAAGCAACTAAATTTCAGTTGCATCAAACCATAGCCTTAGGTTACACAACTGTTATCATCCCACTGGCTATGTCCGGTACCATTTATTATAAGCAACCCAGAAAAACATCCTTTCCATAACTTAAAAGTACATAAATGCAGATGCAGAACTGGTTGTTCTAAAAATGAACCTTGATGGTTTTCTTACCAGGAATTGAGAACTGTGGTATCTCCCACAGGAAACAGGCAAAGCTTGAAAAGTCAGCACACACTTATGCTGCTCTGGCGGCCCTTTACAATTCTTCTCCCAGGTTTTGAAGTAAAGCAGACATGGAAAGTTAGTAACCCAAGGACTCCAAATGGTTATTTGAGTAACTGCTTGTCATGAGACATTGTAACCTGCATGAGATTCCACTTAGACTAGATTTAATTCTTCATTTAGTAGTACTTGATGTTCCGGCTTGTTTATATTTATATATATATATATTCACACACATATTGCATGTATGTAATATTGCATGTACATATGCATATTTTATATACAAATGAACAAAAGTTTTAGTTTCTGTTGACAATTAGAAGAATTTTTAAACTGGTTGATTAACCTTTCCTAATAAATCCTACGTGAGTAAAATTTATTTTACTAATAAATCCTAAAAATATTAATTTTAAGTCTTAGGAAATAAAAGAATCTGATGTGTACAACAAAGTAGCAAAACTTAGTCACTGCATAAAAACTGAAGGTGTCACCTCAGCTATGATTTTGCCCTGTAAACCAGTATAAAAAAAATCATATTTATTGTGCCTTATTCTGGTACCAGATGTGCTTTTTGCAGTCACGTCGAGAGGATGTTTTAATATTTGGGTGGTGAGTTCTGTAGGTTTTGCTTTGGTTTTTATTTTTTGAGTTTGTTTGTGGTTTTATTTTAAACTTTCAGATCTTTTGCTTGTTTTGTTTTTCCCCAAGTTGCCAGGCGCTCAGATCCAACCTTGGCTCCTGTCGTAACCCAGCACTACTTCTCATGCACGCTTCACTTCTCGTAATGCAGCGTAACATCACTGCAAAAGTGTCCTCATTACAATTGTGTAATTCTTTTCAGAAAACAAACAAACAAAAAAAGTGACTCCATTGGTGACAAAAAGCTAATTTGAAACTGTGTAAGTAATCAATTGGCTCTCTGAATGCTAACAAACAAGTCTGCACAAGAAAATATAATCCAGTTTGTGTGTTCTGTCTCTTTTTAGCTGAGTTGTTGTGAGCGGTCAATGGGAGGACAAGATATTTAGATATGAATCATCAGAATTAAATCGTGTTTGGAATTAAAATTCACTGTATACATTTGGAGTGACATCTTTGCCTTCGGTACTCCTACATTTGCTCAGCCTATTAAGAAGGCAGGTCCTGCCTCTTGGATCGTCTCTATTTTCACTGTTTAAGTACTTTTGACTTCTGGTCTTGTAATTCAAGTAATTAGAGTAGTGTACATCTGATTTTTCTGAAGCAAAACAAAACAACAGTGAAAAGATGGAAAACAGCAAAAAAAAAAAAGTCAGAAGTTGCATACAATCTTTTTTATGCATCACATACAGAATTCTACAAAGTTTTTTTTTAATATCAGGACTGTACATCAGCTATAGAAACATAAAAACCCGCTTTTTCCTCCTTCTACTTCATAGAGATTGAGCTGCCATAACCCTCAGGCAAATCCAACACGAGGTGCACATAGTGATAAATCTGCTACAAAATCCAGGTATCCTCAAGCTCCAAAATGGAATGTGCATTTGTAAGGCTATTATCAATTTCAGTTTAATAAATACAATATTTTCTAATTCAGCTGGAGAGGTACTTGCTATCTCACAATCCTGAATAAAGTAAATGATCAAACACAAGATGAATCAATGGGTTAGATTTTACAGACAAGTAAAGTGGGGTGTCAACTGCACTGAATTTAAAAGAATTACTTTGAATTACCATTCATTTAGATGATGTACTGTGAAATTTTCTGTGGACTTTTCACATTTTTTTGCCATTGTTTTCCAGTGTTTGAACTGTTAACATAGCATTTCTCTGATATCTTAAGAGCAGGAACTTCCATTGATAGTCCCAAATTTCAGGGATTGGGGTTACTGTTCTAACCATAACTTGGAAAAGCATTTTTTGCCCTACATCTTAGGTGCATGTACATTATAGGCAAATATCACTTAATTTCCAGTCTTCCAAAGCATATGCTGATTTTTCAGTTTACTAAGTGGAATTACTAAACCCAATCTGTTTAATTTGTACTGGCTTTTTCTCTCACAAATGTTGAGCATTCATAGTTTCCAATCACTGAAGCCAACAGCATCTGCTTAGGACGTGAAAAGAAAAAAATAGGTCAAAAGTGATGGTGATTAATTCAGAAGGAAGATTCCAACATACTTTTGACTGGTTTTCACGAGCAACAAACAAATTTGACCATCTCTGAAAAGGAAGAAAAAAGTGGGAGAGCCTCACAAACTTAAAATCTCAATTTCAGTGTCCTGCTTCTCTAATGGGACAGTACTTATATGAAGGAAGCATCCACTTCCCCCCTCAAAGTAAGATACGGATTAACGACAGAAGCAGCAAGCAGCAGAATGCGAGCACAGCTGTAATGGAAAGGAAGCATCTCTCTCAAGCTGGCTCTGTTGCTCCATTTGGTTTTAAATGCTGAGGGTCAGCTTTGCTGTTGGAGAAAATGAGATAAGGGCTGTTCTCACTACATGGTGAATCTGTGCAGTTGAGTATTACAAGAGAATTGTAAAGGAGCTGTTTCTTCATGTAGGAACCTAAGATTAAAAAAAATATTTAAACTCTTTCCATATTCACCAAAGAGAACAAAAAACTGCAGTAGATATGTCTTAGTTATGTTAATAACTTGTTCATCTCTTCACAGCCAACGGGAACTCTGTAGTAGGTCAAGATAAGCCGAGTGGTGCTGTCAGGCACAGGGCACATCTAATAAATTAGATTTCAGTGTGTTATAAAATCTAAATGTACTGAGAAGCCACGTTTAAACTTTCTATACTAATGACATCTACTTAAAAATAATATATGGATGGTCAGAAAAGTGACTAACAAAAACATCTGAGTGCATACTAACAAAAATAAATCACATCCAGTTGCTTACACTTAATTTAGACACTGCTTGTCAGTTTTGCAGACTCAGCACGGCTACGTAAGAGTGAGGTGATTTCCTTTATGTGGTTTGTGTGTCACCAGTAAAATCAACAAGCACTTACACAATCTTTTTTGGGGGGATACATAACACACATGGAACAGCTCATGATTTTAAACTGAGCTTTATAGAATGATGTTTAGCCTACATTAGTTGCTAGTATTTTTATATGCATCAAACCAAACAAATCTGTTGAAGAGCATGTTAATTCTACAGTTCTGTGATGTCTGTCAAGTCTGTAAGGATAACACCACCTACATCCCTAGTTGTTTTTACAGTGGAATAATAACGAAAAGCTTTGTATGAAAATTAACCACACCATGTAAATATAAAACTTTCACATTCTAAAGTACAACTGATTTCTAAATTCCCTTTTTCAGATGATAGCTTCACTTTACTTTAAAAAAAAGTTTCTAATGAACTCTCAGTTCATAGACACTGTTAATATATTTCATTATTTGTATACGTGTAAATAATATAGGTCAAAATAATGCTTGTGTCTTCTCCTTATTTTTTATTCAACAAACTGATCTTTGGAAACTGCTCAGCACATTACTACTAAAATATTGAAGTATAAGATGAATAAAAATCCATAGTAATTACAGAAAAGGTCCCATAAATACATTTTGAACATAAAACACGACATTCCAGTGCTTACCTCTAGAAGTCTTCACTAAGAATTCAGTGACCAAAACAGCAGAGAGGAAGTGAAAAGAGCACTGTTTTCAATAGTTTGGTAAATTAACAAATCTGCTCTGAAAACAGATGTTTTCAGATGTGTGCAAAAGATTATATTTAGTCAGAAATCTAGATTTCTGGGAAAACACTGCTTGCTTTTGCAAGTAATTCAGTAAATGTTTTACTAGGCATACAAAAGCCTTATGGAGGGAGTCTGATAATAGTCCTTTATTATTCCACTGAATTCTACTAAAGTTAATTGAATAATTTGATAACTATATTCAGCATACAGTCTGCATGCACTCAGCTTTGTAATTATTTCAGGTATTCTCTTAAAGTAAGCCTTAGAATGATTCCCAGCATCTAGCATTTAACCTATGCAGACTTTTACCTATTGCTTTGAATGCAACTGAAAATTTGCTTTACTCTGAATGATGTTGAGTTCAACAGAGCTCCTTAAAATCCACGAAATCTTAAAACTCTTTGCAAATCACTGCAGGAACTTGACGTTGAGATATTCTATACAACAGATCTGCACATTCATCCCAGATACACTTTTTCAGGTGATGATCTCTCACTGAATGCCTCATCCGAGTAAAACAGTTTTAAAGAGAGCTTTTTAGAGGAAAGGGAGAGTAAATCAGCAGGTTGAATAACATATGAGGAGCAATCTATAATAGTCTACCTTATAAACAGAGAAAATACCTTGAAAGGGAGTTCCAGTGCTACTTCATTTATTTATTTCAGTTGAAACACTATTAATGGAACAAGCTCTACAGCAGCTTCAATAGTATTTTGTTCAGGTTCGATTCATAAATCAATTTCTATTTTGTAACTGCAGCCATTCCACAGCAAAAGTTCAATGTGATTTCATTTCTTGCCTTCTAATTAAAGGTCTATAATGAAAAATGTACGTAACCTGAGTGTTTGTTTAACTCCTCATTAATGATGCTGAACTCAGAATCGCTACTGTGACATCTGGTACCACTGCCTGTAGTAACTGCTCTGTATACACTGCTCTGTGCATTGCTTTTCAGTAAACAATTGCTCTTTCAAGCCACAAAAATGCATGTCTGCTCTCAAGGAGACATGCTTTTTGCTGCATCATTACAGAAAAATGTGCTGCCTGCGATATCAAAAGACCAAACACATGCAAATTGTAACACTTCATCAGAAAAAAAAAGTACAAACAACTGAAAACATGTTTTCTCTTTATATAGCAATATGCTGACTGAGAATTCCCACAGACCAGGGGCATGGCATCTATCAGAAGATTCCACACAGACTCTCCATTCAAAATACTTCTCCCTGCAGCTCAATCAAAACCACCTGAGACATTTCTAATGAAGACTCTCGCCATAAAGCCCAGAAAATCAGCACATAAATCCTTCTGTAAGAATTAAAAACGACATCCTTATTTGAGGTTAAGTCAGCATTCTTTTCTTGTCTTTCCTACTGATATTCCAAGAAAAACTCCCTCTGCAACAGCACTTCCTCTCTGCTTCATCTCCCTGCGGTGAGATCATCATCTATTACTACAGAAATCAACATGATGTTAAAAATAAGCATGGAATGACCACACTGCACGAAGAAGGAGACAGACACTGTAATGTTTCTCAAGTAGAAAGTCCTAAAATGCTGAAGAAACCCCAGGAGGTTGCTTTATGTCTACTGTAATAGATCTAATTTGCCTGGACTCTCCTTCTTCATGTTCATCCACTTGAGCTTATTTTAGTGTAACATTTGAACTCTGCCAAAGGCTCTTGGGAACATTCCTGAGCGTTACTCCTATGCTTGTCAACCCTGCAGTGCCTTTTTGTTATCAAGTGTCTTCCAACACGAAATACCATCTCTGCCAAGCTCAAACCATCCCTGCGATCACCCTGCTTTAGTGACAGAGGAGTTGGAAAGGCAGGGCTGTTTCAAGGCAGATCCTCACTGGGGCTCCGATGGATATTAGTGAAATCCTGGAGAACAAACCGGGATATATTTAATGGCATGTTTGATTTAATATTTGTTTTCTACATCTTACATCCCTAGGATTCTTCGCTTCCTGCATTTGTCGTACAACAGCGTGCAAGTCCAATGGCGTTTGGGGCTGTGTGGGATGAGGTGTGATGCTTATATGGGATTCTTACCCTCAAACTGGCACCTCCCAACGTTCGAACCACTTAGAACCCAGAGAAGGAAGCACCGCGAACCTACCTGTCCCTGCCCCGCGGTGACCCAACCCGTCAGCAGGAGCTCAGCACACCGCGGCCGCAGGGAGCAAAGCGGCGCACATTCCGCACAGCGGCGCGGCCGCACCCCCAGCTCCCGCACCGCCCGCAGACGCGGCCCCTCCGCGCGCTCACCGCCCCACGGCCGCGCATGCGCGGTGTGCGCGGAGACTGGAGGGCGGCCCGCGAGCGTCGCTCCGCTCCCGCCTCATTGCCGGCCCGGCTCCTTCCTCCCCGCTTCTCTTCCTTCCTCCTCCTCGCCGTTTCCTGCCAGTCTCGCGCCGCGGCGGCCACCGCTCGGCGTTGAAGGGGAAAAGGCGGCAGCGTGAGGGCGGGGAGAGGAAGAGAGGAGGACGGCCCTCATCCGCGCGGCCGCTCCCGCCCCGCTCCGGTTCTTGCGGTTCCTGGGGCGGGGAAGGGCGGAGGGGGCAGGGTGAGGAGAGAGCGCGGCTGCCCGGCCCAGGCCGACGGCTCGTCCTAGGGCGGCTTCGGCCTCCGTCCCTCCGCCGCCGGCACGGAGCTTGAGGCCGAACCGGGCGTTCCGGCCCGCAGGTGAGGCTGGGGCGGGCGGCGGGAAGGGGAACAACGGCGGAAGAGAGACGGAAAGCAGGCCGGAGCGAATCGCGGGCATTGATTGCCGCGTCCGCGCCTTTCTCTGCCGCGCTTCCTCGAAGCGCAGCGCTGTGTCTCCGCCGCTTGCAGGGCGTGTCCCGCCGGGCCGTGCTTCTGCCGGCTCCGTGTGCCCTGCTTCGGCTGCGGGCAGAGCGTGCGGGTAAGGGATGGGGACGTTCCCGAGCCTGGAAGGGGCCTTTGTACGGCTCCGGGCTGCGATCCACCACGTGTGTTATAGCTGATTTCCACACTGATTTCCGCCTTGTTCCTTGGAATATTTGCTTACTTGCACGAATTTCCTGCAGCGTTAAAAAAGTCATTTTTTAAACGTTCGTTACATCTTGAGTTAGAAGTGTTTCAGTGGGGCCCTGAAGCAGCTATGATCTTAGTACACATCTGCTTCCTCGCACAGCCTGATTGCTTAGTGGTGAGGTAAGAACAGATGAAAGCTGCTCTGGCAGTACAGCACAGTGATAGGTGACGTGCTTTTCCCATGGCTTTGTGTTACGTTTGGAGATGTTGACCTTAGGGTGTGAAGTTGTGTTATCTGAACAGAATTCCTGGCTCTCGTGCATGTAAGGCAGCTGTGTGAAATGTCAGGTGTGAGCTTGTTCGCCTAGACATGATGCTTCTTGTGAACTCCTTTGCTTTATAGCTGTCATTGTGCAGGAGCTGACATAGTGTTTTAACACATGGAGTCCGGTTTAACCAGCACTGTCTAATACTTCCAGTTGCAGGGGGCTGTGCAGTACGTGCTAAGGTCTTAAATAGTGGCTGAAGGAGCTGGGATTGTTCAGTTTGGAGGAGGCTCAGGGGAGACCTTATTGCTCTCTATAACTACCTGAAGGGAGGTTATGGTGAGCTGGGAGTGGAACGGCCTCAAGCTGCATCAGGGGACATTCAGGCTGGACGTTAGGAAATACTACTTCTCTGAAAGAGTGGTCAGGTGCTGGAATGGGCTGCTGGAGTCACCGACCCTGGAGGTGTTCAAAGAATGTTTGGATTTTGTGTTGAAGGACATGGTTTAATGAGAACTATTGATGATAGGTGGATGTTTGCACTGGGTGATTCTGTGGGTCTTTTCCAACATTGGTGATTCTATGATAAAGAATAAACATATAATCAAAACACACATGCCTTTTTTATTTATTTTTGAAATCTAGATAGATATCTTACTTAGTACATCTAGTATATAACAGTAATGAAAAAGCAATGACGATTGTATTTGAAAAATAATAATATAAATGGTGACTGAAGTCAGTGCAATGCACATATTAAAATATATATATATTAGAGATGCTTTTTGAGAAAGTAACATGAATTTATTATCCTGAGTAACTGGAAATGAGTTAATAAATGTATGCAATGGGCAACTTGTTTCTGTGCAAGCTTGCTTCTTTGCGATCTTCTGTGTTATATATCATTTGAAATAGTGCACATAGATAGTGCTGTTGGAAGTTCATGGATGTGTGTTAGGCCCGTAGAGCTAGAGCTGCTGCCATGGCAGAGGTGAAGGAGCATCTCACAGGGGACCACACAGGGGACCCCCAGCTTTAGATCGTACCCTGGAAGGTTTGCTCTGTTGTGCTTCAGTAGCTTTCCTGCAATGTAGAGTAACTTCAGCAATAGTAGCAAAGAGTAGGAGTGCTGTACATATGAAGTTGTTAATGGAGGAATATCTTCAGCTTATTACTTGACGTGGGCTGTTACCATGGAGCTCTCTGTTTGTTTCGTTCATTAACAAATAGTCTCAATAGAGTAGCAGTGTGTTTGCAGTGTTTTGTTTTTAAATGGTTAATGAATCATTCTTTTGCAAAATGATAGAGGATACTCATTTTGGAAAAGCTGACAATGTGAAAATGCAGTTTGCTTTGATTTTGGAAGATCCGTGTGACTTTGTTTTTCATTATGCATTCCTCTAATTTTTTTCATTGTGTTCATTGTAGTACTGTTATTTCCTCGAATTTGAAAATCATGCTTGATTTTCTTTTATTTTCCCTGAATCTTCAGTACCTGTGGTAACACTGGTAACACTGTAAATGTCCAGCTGTGTCACTCTGCTTCTCTGACACCTACCTTTACCTCGTGCCCTAGGATAGTCTTGGCTGTGAGACTATTATAACAGCTTTTCAGATGCTTCTTCTCAATAATGATAATGTTCTGCATGTCATTTTTTATCACGGAGTCATGATATCTGCAAGTGCAGCTGTAAGCAGCTGACTGGCAAAGAATTCATGCTTCATAAAATAAATACCAGTGATTGAAGTCACTTCGCTCTGTGGTGTTTGTCTCAGGATTCTGGTAGTCTGCAAAGACAGGAAGGTCACCAAAGACAAATGGATGGGCCTGTGGGTGTTAGGTACTCCCACAGGGTTGTAGGATATGTCAGTACAGCTACTGTCTTGCCTTGCTTAAAGTTTACCAACACTAGCCTGATATTGTTACACTTCATGGCTCCGTCAGGCAGTACTTTTCCAGACTACATAATAGCTTTCTGGCTCTCTGTCTATTCCTAGCTTTGTAACACTCTTTGTAACACAAGGGATTTCAGCTTTCTCTAAGGAGCTGTCATTCTATTGTTAAAAGCCACTAACAAGCAAAAAGCTGTATTTCTCAGGTTTTTAAAAGGGAAATGAACTGGGAACGTGTTGTGTCAGAGAGTGCGGATAGTTGATAGTTAACTCAGTGCAGGCTGACAGCTGTGCACAAAGTAACTTCAGGGGGATTTTTTTGCCCTGAAGAGGCTGACGTGAGCTTGTTCATTCAGAGCAGAATCTCGGTACCTCCAGTTTGAGGTAGGACGTGATTTGAGACAAAGAGGTTTTCTGGTTGTTAGTGGAAACGCTGTTCATGAACTGGAATAACTGCCCCCGTTGTAGTAGTAAGCACTGTCACCTTTTGGCTGACAGTAACTGTCAGTCTTTACTTCTTCCTTTAAAGCTAGATGTTTTACACATAGTATCAGTTCCTCCACCCCCTGCGATGATTCTAGTTTCAGATAACCTTTTTCTGAGCAAGGTGGTGCCGAGTGAAAATTATGAATGAGTGCTTAAAGCCATTATGTAAACAACTGCTGATTTCCCTCTTTCCTTCATTGCATGGTGGTCGCTGTGATCATTAGCACATGAAGCTGCCTTCTTTTCCCCTCGTGAATTAGACATTCTAATTCCAAAGAGCTGTCCTTGCTCAGAGGAATGCTACAAGTGCATCCATCCTTCTAGGGAGCACTCTTGTGTCAGCCTTGCATAATTTAACTCTTCGTGTATCTTTGTTCTGTGTCCATTTATTTCTGTTTCTACTTTAGAACTTGCTTTCACAAAGCGCTGAAGCTTAAACAAATAAGATTGTAATTTTCCAGTCTGATTCTTTCTGCTCCCTCTGAAATATAAATGCTACTTCTGCTGGCTTGCAATAATAATACCTCTGATTTATTATTATTTTTTTATAGATCTGTGTTAACCTGAGCTGCAGCTTCATGAGGCAGTTCTTCAAAATTACTGAGTTGGGAGTGTTCTGCTGAGCATATTCTGTTTTAATTGTGGGCATGGTAGCCTCCATACCTTTCATAGCTATGAAATCAGCTGTGTTATCTGTGAAAGTGAAGGTCAGGTGTTCAATTAAAATAGGAAGTATATTCAGAATGTTTGACTCCGTCATTGTTGCATAGCAGTCTTGCTTAGATCTTTCTTTTTAGTGAGGTGCATGAAGAAGATTTTGTACTGAGTAGTGTATTTCACAGGCTTGTTCTTTTGGTATTCTTGGGGTTTGTGGAATTCTGAAATTTGTCAGAAATCAGAATGAGTTGCTGTTTGTTTTTATCAGCAATCTGTGCTTGTTTTATTAGTGATGAATGTGCTTTTCTTTCTGCTTCTTACATCCATCCTGCTTAGTGTGTTTCTAACATTCATCCAAGCAACCTTAATTCAGAGTCTTCTAGGTTTTCACTCCAGTTAATCACAGTTAACCCACAAATTGAAATGGAATCAACTTATAACTGAAGTTGATCATGTAGACCATTACAGTATGTGATCTTTGAGTTTTGTTGAGAAAACACTTACTGCTGGCTCTTGTTTGATAAAAGGCAGGTAAAAGTGTGTATCATAGACATTTGTGTCGTCTAGTAGTGTGAAATTACTTCCAGGTGGTATTTTATAATGAACACCTTCCTAGCAGTATTTTCTCTCTCATTACACGTCAGAGGTAGCTATCATTAGGGGCAGGTAGTGCTTCCATGGTGTTTTATGATCCATGTGATTCACTTACGGATAGTTAAAGCAGATCAGCACGCCAGCTTGACAGGTGGGCATCTAAATTTGTTCCAGAAGCTAGGTATTGTGGGCAAGAGGTTCAACTCCTTCCTCAGATCAGAAAAGTTGTTTTTATTTTTATTTTTTTTTAAGTACGCAGCCTCTGCTGACTTGGGCTTTAGTGTTAGGAAACTGCAAGG